GTGCAAGAGAAAAGGCAGTAAAAGTTGTACATGAAAAACTGGATGAATTGCTAGGACTGTTAGAGCAATTAAGTGAGAATGGCAATACAGCTGAAACAAAATGTGATGCTCATAATATTCTGCAACGCACTTTTACATCTGAGTTTTTTGTACTTTTGCATTTTTGGAGAAATCGTTTATCATTTATCAATCGAGTGCAGAAACGTCTTCAGGACCTAAAAATGAATTTTAGAGAAGCAGCTGCTGATCTTGATTTCTTGAAAGAGAAATTGATAGAATCGCGTGCAAAGTCCTGTCAAGAAGCATTTAAAGTGGGCATGAATCGATGTGAAACATGGGGATTGACCATTGAAAGAAGAAAAATACGTCGTAAACGAATGCCAGGTGAAAATGCAGCTGATGCTGGATTGACTACTGAACATGAAATTTACCGCATCATAAAGGATGTTATTGATCACTTGATTACAGAAATAACAGGAAGTTTTCTCGCTTACTAGATTTAGTTTCACGGTTTGAATTTCTACTAGATGTGCAAAATAATGTTCTGACTTAGCAAAGAGCTAACCAGTTGATATTGATGGACCAGAATTGTATAGAGAAATTAAAGAGTGTAGAATGTTGATAAGTAAAAGAACACAGACCGATTTTTCTGAACTAATGGTTGCAACTGATTTGCTAACATTTATAATTTCATATGATGAAGATGTTTTCCCAAATTTAAGAATTGCATTGCAGATTTTGTTAACAATTGGGGTTTCTATTGCTAGTTGTGAAATGTCCTTCAGCAAACTGAAATTAATTCTTACATACTTGAGAACCTCAGTGACTCAAGAACGACTTAGTAGCTTAGCAATATTAAATATTGAAAAAGACGCATTTAATGCCTTAAATTTTTAATTGATGCATTTGCAGCAGCAAAAGCACGAAAGGTTCGTATAATGTAACCATGAATACCAGAATGCTACCTGTACAAGATCTAGTTAAGTATATGTACAGTTTTGTAAACTAATAAAATTTGTTATATGTAAACTTAAGTAGTATTTTATCAAATGTTTTATAATCCATGTACACCACAAGTGATTGGTTTCTCATATAAAACATAAGTTTTAAAACTAGGGATATAACAGAAATTTATACTGCATGCTTGAAAGATTACTCTAGCTATGTGACTTTGAACAATACTGGATGACAAAAATATCAAAATGGTTTACAAATTATGTAAGTACACCTAGTAGGCTATACTTCATTAGTTCCAGGTGTACAGTTGTGATATCGTGAGATGTTATATTGTGACTTTATTTTAGGCCTGTGTAAGGCGGTAATTAATTCTTTATGTTATTGTCATTAAGTGGGTAATGAGTCACAAAACAAATAGTCAAAACATTTCAGAGGTGGGGGCGCCAAAAGTGTCTTTGGCCCCGGGTGCTGAGAACCCTTGCTACCCCACTGGAAATACTAGAAGTAAAAATGCTCATTGACCAGTAGTCAAATTATTACAATAAGGAAAAGGCTTAATCAAAATAAATTGGAATAAATTGTATCAAAATGAACAATAGATATAGTGACTTTGTTGAAGGTTGACAAGAAATGATAAGAAAATGGCAGAACCTCCACATTAGAAACAGAACCTTCTCGTTGAAGATTGAAACAAATCTGCATTCAAAATACGCAATTGCTCTGTAGTTGATTTATCAAAAAATAGGCACTTGATCAGGCTCTAAAGGAAGATATTGGAATGTACCCAAACGTTTTCTTGAATATTTGGGAAGCTTAATACAACAGTGACAATGTATTTACTAGGTTGCTTCTAATATACATAATATCCAAAATCTGAAACTCTGACAGGTGACATAACTTCGACAAATTAAACTTTTATAGTTTGAAGTGTAAACGTGCTAGTTTGTTTGTTTGAAGTGAAGCACAAAACTACACGATGGGCTATCTGGCTCTGCCCACCACAGTATCGAAACCCGGTTTCTAGCATTTTAAGTCTGCAGACATGCCACTGGGGGCCAGTGTACATGAGACTACAGTTGAGTTTAAAATTTTGTGTAAATAAACAAACTCCAGATTTTTTAAAATTAACACATATATATGAAAAAGGTAAGATTCATAACATAAAATGCTATTTCCATTTGTAGGATTTAAACGGGATTTACCTGAAGCTCAACACCTGCGTATAGAAAACAAACATTTTTACTTTGATGTAGGCCAGAACAGCAGGGGAATCTACATGCGCATATCTGAGGTATGCTTTCATAATTTGTATTTCTGTTAAAAATGATAATTATTTTTACAGAAGATAATTATAGGGAATTTGACCCAAAAAATTATCTTTTCACTGATTAATAATATGTGCGATGCAAATGTATAATAATTTTAAATTTCAAGGCAGAACAATCCCAGGAACCTTTCTCGCTGCAATAAATTCATAATTATTAGCAGAATTGATGATGTTCTTGATTCTTTTCATGTGCACATCAAATTAATCTAGAATATTATATTAAGTAAACATTTTTAATTATAGTTCAAGGTCATGACACTAGTCTGCTGTTAGTTATTCAAATGATGAATAATTATGTCATGTATTTTGGAATGAATCACCCCTAAAATCAGAAGTCAATCATACAGAAATCAATAACCGTTTAGTTCAACATAGTAGCTGGAAAATGATTTAAAAAAGTTATAAAACTGCTTTTAAATGATAATTCAGTGTTATAGATTTGAATTTTGCTCATATCTTCACTTCTTGCAAAAAATATTCATTTGAAAAAGAGATTTTAGTGAAGGTTGATTGCTTTTTGCAAAATAATTTATCTATAGGAACAGTTTTCTATGCTAAACTATTCTATATACACTAGAAGAATGTCCAAACATCATGTCTACTCTAGTCTCAGTTGCAAGTATGCAGTTAGAAGGTGTGATGTTTGCATAAAATGCAAATCTTAACATTGTGGATGCATCCGTTATGGGCTTGTTAAAACCAAAGTACTCGGAAAGAGAATCCAATCAAAAACGGACAAGAAAACTATAAAGAAAAGGAATAGTAAGATTAACATACCTTGTTATTCTCCTTGTAACCACTTCCATTATCTTAAATTTTTCAGTGTTTTACAGTCTTATATTTGATTTATCAGTTCTCAGCCAATGAAATTCATAAGAAATAGTCGAAGAACATTTATTGTTGTTTCTACTAAGTACACAGAATATCCTAGAAGGCATGAATATGTTGAAAACTTTCTTACAGTGTAATCAAAGTGAAAATGGAATAGCCCTGAGCAAAGTAACTTTTGTAGTTGCCCTAGCTGTGGTATGACAAGTCACCAGAGGGCGACACGTGTGTCGACCTCAGGCAATAGGGGAAGAGTAGAGACGATGATATCATAGTTCCACGACGTGGAAACAAAAGGCTAGGGGCATGTTTCTAGGCCGCCATGACACTTGATGACGAAAGTTGTCTGAAAACAGAGAGTGTATTGCTAGGAGATTTCACGTGACATCATAATTAGAGTTTTACTCGACAGAAAGCATGTTGCTAGTCGTCATAGTTCCATGATGCAGCATCAGAAGGCACTTTCTTATGATGAACGCACAGATAGCTCACAAGTGAACCACTGGAAGGTTATGTAGATCAACATGATATCAACTTTATAGTAGCAATCAAAGTCAAAATCTTAAATTAATTATTTAATCTAACTTACACAACTTTATTTTTACAATTACCACAGTTACAGTTTCACTTTATAACTAAAACATTAAATAGTTTATAGTTTTTGCTTATATATTGTGTACGTTTTTCAAAGGAAAGTCGTGTTTCCATAGGTGGATGATGCTACTAAAGACAATGTTAGCATAATTTGTAGGATCATTGATTAATTCATAGTATTTTATCATATTTGCCTAGCATACTTTTTACAAATATCTGTCCTAAAAAAAGACAGATTTTTCGTGATAACACCTCCAAATATCCTGCAATAATTTAACATATAATCTTACTATTTCATTAGTGTGGCATTATAGATTAAATATATTCTTATTCTATTCCTCTACTCATGTAACTATGATTATTATTGTCTATAACTGTAAATGAATTCTTGACAGAACATTTCATTTTGCACATGTTGACAGTTACTTTATAGTTTTTACTTACATAATTACATATGTTTTACAAAGGCTAACAGTGCTTATATGAATAGACAATGTTATTATTACAAGGTCTTATTAAGATTCTATAGGTGGATTGTCTTACTAGGCATATTGTGTGTGTTTTACAAAAGCACATGACATTACTAAAGGTGGACAGTATTACTATACTTCTGTAGGACTGCATACAGATTTCAACTTGTCTAAACTTATGTTTGTAGTTTTCATTTATATATTTAATTGTATTGTATAGATTTACAAAGACAAATGGTGTTTCTATAGGTAAACAATGTTACTATACTTCCATAGGACTCCATACAAATTTAAACTTGTCTCAACTTATTTTCCTTTAATATATTTAACTGTAGTATATGTATTTCTATAAGATGATAGTGTTACTAACACATTTAAAGTACTGCTTAAAAGGTTTTATCACATCTAATGTATCATTTCATAAATAATGAACAAGACAGTTAGTATAGTCAATTGTGATTTTTAAGTATCTATTTAGTATACGTTTAATGTACTGATCATATTTTTCACGTGTATATCGAATTTGCATGTCATACTTTTGCATTTTCTATAATTAATATATTGTATAACATCTATTTGTCCTGAAAAGGATGCTTATTTAAATCCCTAAATAATGTACAATAATTTTCATGTTTAATTTTATTAGTTGATTTGTTACACTAAAGTTCAGTTTAAAGGATCTATGTAAATAACTTTGTTTAACCATTATTATTGTAAAAAATTATACTCTTACCTTTCTTCAGATATTTTCATTTTGAACATTAAATCAATTATTACATATAGGCCTTTTTCCACTTCTATCTGAGGTCATTAACTCAAATGATAGAAAGGTCAATACATACAATCACCAAATGGTGTGGATACTTTAACCTTTTACTGTGAGAAGAGGCTGATAAAATTCAAAGTTCAGTATGTCAGAAATATTTTATGAAAACAAAAACATGTCAATTATAATACAGTGTCTATGCTGCTATTTATGATTATACATTCATTAGTAAGATATAAGTCTCATACATATATTTACATTATAGTTAATATTGAAAATAAATTGTTCAAACTCTACATAATCGTATATTTTCTACATAAATTCAAAAACAGTAGATTATAAATTTAATGTTCACCATAATTAATGATGGTCAGCTTTTGTATGTCACTGAAGTTAAATGACAGTAAATAATAGTTTATTAGTTCTTTCACTTTACATAATGATACAAAACACAAATGTGTATTCATGATATTCTCTTTCTCAATATTTGATGGGAAGATTCTTATATACTTTCTATTCAATTAGACTCCATGAATTGATTATTCAAGTTTCTAACAAATATGTTTAACCATCTAATATAAGTCTCCACATAGATATCATCAACGTATATAAGTAAAATCACAAACTATAAATACGACTGAAATGTTTATTCACAAAACTAAGTAAAATCTCAGACTTAACACTTCACTGCTAAATAAGGAATGGAATCTGAAGAAGAGATAGGCATCACCAGGTAAAATATGCTCAAAAATCACAGATGAGGCATCAGCATCTAAGGTGCCTAAACAGTCTCGAGCTTCAAAACAAAAGACTAGTGTATCAAATGTAGGTACTAAGATTGGAAATATGTTTTTTCTCAGTGACTCTTTACTTTTTGGATATCTTTAATATTCTTTTTTATTTGTTACAATTTTCTCAGGCATTATCAAGTTCTTACACTTTTGTTATCTGATCCATTTCCTGAAAATTAGGTTTTTGCATTGAGGGGATAGATGATTGTTATGTTGTCTTTGATACCCTGCTTATCATGTAACTGGAATCTCTTGACTCTAGCATGTGATAATTTAAGGCACTTTCATTCTGTGGATTAATCACTCCAGGTACTCCTGTATTGAATTTTCTCATCAACATACATGCTTGCAGGCTTTGGTTTCATAGTTGGCTTTGGGTAACTTTTCAAAGTCACACAGTTCTGCTTAGCTGTGATAACCTTTTTTTGCCCCTGTCTCTTGAATTTTGTTCTTGCTTCTGCTCCTGGAAACCAGAATCCTGAGGGGCAATCAGGACCCCTCCCCTTTCTGTTCTGTGTCAATACATTAACAATACCACACACTTCAATCATTGAACAGGTGACAACAGCATAGAATGAGATTATAACTCCAATCATGCTAATAGAGTATTATGATATCCAGCTAACTGCTAGGTGCAATAACATTAATGTTTAGGTGGATATGGATGTTGCTCTGTTGTTTGTGTGTAATTCGAAAAGAAGTATAAAGGAAAAAGGAAGTTCAGAGATAATTAAAAAAACACTATCAGTTGAATGAATAACATTGTACAGAAGAAATAGAAATAGTTACTGCAGGAATAAACTTCATCTTATGTGTATATATATATTGTTACATATCTGCTTGTTTGTTAATTTCCATTAGATATTCTTTCCGAGAAACTTCAGCAATACAAGTCCTTTCTTAATTAAAACTGGTTTATTCTTTCTTGATACAACTTTGCAATACACAGAATTTCCACAGTCACTTTAACTTAACTACTTTTATAAATACACGCTATAATTCACAGTGATTCACACACTTTACTTATGGTGCCTGGTGATTGCTTGACTCAATTATCTCTATCTTTAATCCATCTGCCTATGCAACTCTATTTTTTTTAGATGGCTATATTTGCCGGGCTTATATAATAAAAGATAGGGCGCCTGGAACAAACTAGAAAATTCATGATCATTCGAGAAACTCCTCGGACACGCCACCAGTGCCAATGTGCCAGCAGAATCACGTGACTTTCGCTGTCGTAACACTGCCCCTTCCTCAGTATTGTTCGTCCCGAACAATAGCCATTTATATTAAACCAATAGATAATTAACAATAACTTAATTAAATGTACAGAATTTACAAACACAAAATTACAATTCAACAAAGTCTCTTAATTTTACGGGACGTATCTTCTTCCATACTGGTCTCCATCTTGTTGGCTTCTGCATCACGTGGGGTTCATCTGCTCCATCAGGAAATGCCCTATTATCGGTAACAGTCACATCAGTGGTAGTAATTTCATCAAGGGCTTCACTGTTTTCATTCTCAAAACCGGGTAGTTTCTTCTTCGACATTGGCTTTTACAGGTGACACGTCTTCAGCAGGATCATTTGTTTCATTTTTCACTTTGTTCCAATTGAAATATCCGGACCATGATAACACCAAAGCCTGTTGGCATGGACCACCTTTGGCTTACCTCGCCGACCACATTTTATTCGGAAAGTCACGTCTGAGAGACAATCCACAATGTCGTATGGGCCTTCCCATGGAGATAACAACTTAGGAGACTTCCCTTTGGTTTTCCTGAGATTAT